GTAACTACTTAAAATCCTGCAGAGGTAGTCTGGAACCCTCATTCTATGGAGCGCCTTGGCGATGGTCTCCCAGCTGGCGCTTTTGAATGCATTCTTCACAGCAATCGTAATCACGGTGCAGTATCGATTTCCTCTCGGTTCTGTCAATCACTGTCCGAATTGCATCCACCGTCGATCTCCCTTTCCGGAATCCGAACTGCCTCTCCGACAATCCGTGTTCACTCTCCGTGCATTTCGTCAGCCTGTTCAAGATGATCCTCTCCAAGAGCTTTCCGACAGTATCCAGCAAGCATATTGGCCTATACGATGCAGGATCCCCCGGCGGTTTTCCGGGCTTCGGCAACAGCACAAGCTTTTTTTCCTTCCACCTATCAGGGAACTTACCCTCGTCCAGTTATTTCTGCAGCACCATCCTGAACATGTCCGGGAACGTCTGAATCGCGGCGTTCAACGCCACGTTGGGAATTCCATCCGGGCCGGGAGCTTTCTTCGCCTTCAATCCTTTCGCTGCTGCTAGGAGTTCCTCGTTGGAGACTTGTTCCTCGCCATATGGTGTAGGTGGCCAGGTCATTGGCTCATGCTGTAGGAAAAGTCCCTCCACGAAGACTTTCAACTTGTTGGGGCACATTTCAACCGACATTGTTGGACCTCTGATCTTCGCTGCGCTCGTCTCTGTCTGCTTCCGTTCTTGCACTCTGAACGCGCCTTCTGGCTAGAAGACAACTTGCACGGAGGGTGCTAATTTCCTCGTTCCACCAGTAAGCTGGACGCCGCCTATTCGTTGGCTCCAGTTTTCTCGGCATAATTGTGTCACATGCCCTTGCTAATGATTCAGTCAACTCGTTCGCGCTTAGACCCGGGACGCTGCTGACTACCCTCAGAGCTTTGATGAAGAGATCCTTATGGAATGCCTTCGTCTTCCACTTCCGCTCGCTTACTTTCGTCCTCCGTATTTCCACCGGTGTCCGTTCGCCGATACTGTACCGGATCGCCTGATGGTCACTATGGGTGTACTCTTCACACACTCTCCAATTCATATTTCCAACTAGCGACGTACTGCAGAAAGTGACGTCGATAATGGATTCCCTACCATCTTTGCGGAAGGTTGGCCGGACTAACGTTCAACTTTGCCAGAGCTGCCAGCAGACTATACCCTCTTGCGTATAATCCAATCCACTGCCCAAGTATTGAAATCTCCTGCGATGAATACTGGTCTCCGTCCAATAAGCTCTCCGGTGAGCCCACGTAGCATCTGGTGGAACTGCTCAATTTGCCATCTCGGGATTGCGTAGCAACTACACAAAGTTTCCATTGATTTTGGCGATCACCCACCAATTATTGAATGGGATACCTGCCCATGACTTGTATGGCCGCCATTCCTGCTCTATCCGCCATCCAGTTACCATTATTGAGAAGGACTCGATATAGCTCTGCAATGATTGCAACGTCGCACTTTGTTTCCGTTGTCGACTGCCACAACAGTTGCTGTGCTGTGTTGCAATGATTGAGATTAATTTGGGTTACCTCCATTATTGCTGGCCCACCATCGCCTTCATGAACTCTGGGCACCTGAAACTTCCCGTCACATGGCCGTTTCCGTCCTCCTTTTTGCAGAGCATGCACCTCGGTTGCTTCGTATAGTCTTTTACAACGTACCCCTTCTGCACAGATCAGATCTGTCAGGGCTTTTGCAGTTTCTCGCCTGGTGACCGAAGCCCATGCACTTGTAGCATCTCCCCCATTTTCTTAGAAACCCAAGGAATATAGCTTTCAACGGGCACACTGACCACCCAACCTTAATTCGGCCTGTTTTCAGCAGCTCGTTAGCTGCATTCGAAGAAAGTCGTATCGACGCCGTCTGCGTGCCACCAGACGCCTTCCTCAACCGAATTGCCATCAGTACGTCTACCAGGTTGCACCTTCAGCGCACTTTTCAACTCGTCTTCCGTTGTGATCTCGTCCAAATCCCTGCACTCGACCACTGACTTTCGTTCGCCGTACTGCCAAGAGATTTTTTGACAAGCTCCTTAAAAGCTGCGCTCTTAACCATAGGGTCCCTTTTTAGCTCAAATAGCTTTTCGCCTTTCTGGGTTCGCCTGGTTTTCACGACGTTCTCGCCTAGTTATTTCAACTCCGGATCCACCTAGGCTTCTCCTTGTTCTTCCTATCTTCCTTCTTCTTCTCTTCCTTCTTCTTCTCTTCCTTCTTCTTCTCTTTCTTCTTCCTAACTTCAACTTCCTTCTGTTTTTCTTCCTCTCCTTCTGGTTCTCGACTTTAAGCAACCCACCATTTTCTCTCATCTACTTGATGCCTTCCTCGTCGTTCCTGCGTTTTTTGGGCTCCTCCTCATCTCCTAACGTGTCCCTATCTCTCTTTTCAGGACGTGCATTTGTGGTTCCCTTCGGCGTCTCATGTGCTTCAGCCAGTCTTATGCTTTCCTTGGCCTCCAGCAGAGTCTTTTCAGCATTTTGGCTCTTTTTCTCCAAACTTCGAATTCCCGATCTGGCACTGTTATGCCGGATTTGATTCCGGTCACAAGTTGCTTGTTTTTTTTTTGCGTACGTTGTTTTTATCCTTTACGAACACATATAGTTCATCGATATTCCTCCTGACATCCGTCATTTTGGTTCTCTCAAGCTGCAGATCTTGAGATTTGCTACTGCTGGATATCGGTGTGAATATCTGGCTTAGCCCATCGCCTGGCTGCTCTCCTTGGAAACTTTGCGGTCCTTGCTGCTCACCTTGGGACGTACTGCTGCTGCTGGAACTCGCAGTGGCCACCAGGTTCGACACTGGTGATCTCTGCAATATCCCGCTCCTTGCGAACATGTTCGCTCCACCGTTTTCACTGTATGGCGTCTTGCCGTCGTCCTTCATATTTTTTTTCGCTTTCTTCCCTTTTTGTTTTTTCTCCGATTTTCTCCATTCTGATGGGTCCCCCTTCCGGGCCGCTATCTCCACTCGTTGTATGTAGTCTCCTATCGTGATCCCATTGTTATCTATGAAAGCAGGGAGCCCACGCTAGGGTTGACACGGTCCTTCATGGGGGCCGTGTTCAGAGCCAGATCGGCGTAAGTCAGGAATGTTGCATCTGAGCCTACTACTCACCAACCACCAATTTTTGATGTGTTTTGAACGTATCCGGAGGCCTTCCAAGGTTTTACCGGGACGGGGGCAGCCGCCCTATTAACCCATTCGCTATGATTAGCCACCCTATTAGCCCGCCGACTGTCAGCCCTGTAGCGTGGTATCCAATCCATTGTATCGTGTCGTGTACCGTGTCCAGTATGCCGTAATTAGGATCTTACTGGCGACGATCCTAATGTGTCGGTTGGCACTCCTGCGGGTTGACGAAGCATTTACTCTATCGTCGTACTATGGTTACCGCGCCAGTGTTCGCGTCGCACCCCCTCACTCTGCTATTGTCGGAAGGACAACATTGCCCAGGCTACACCACGGGGAGAGGTGAGGTAAGAACTTGTGAGGACCAGAGCTAGGTTGTCAACTCACCATTTGTAGCCCTGTATGTATGTAAGTATGTGTGTGTGTGTGGGGGGGGGGAATACATACTCAGATTTTATTAATATACAATCATTCAATTTATGAATTTTGAATTACTCAATTCATGGATTTTTAGTTTGTTTGAAGCTCCTATCATTGACCGTTCAATATTTAGCTTGCTTCGTTTACATGTGGGTAGGTATAACTTGAGACCGTGAACTTAGATTCTACCCACAAAAAGAATAATCATTGCTCACGTGCATTCAATGATTAATGGTTTTTGCAACCTTTTGTTTGCCACAGTTTTACTATTCATCTTTGGAAGCTCGTAGGTAGGCGATACCGTTAGAGTTGACCAGGGGTTTGTGCCTATCGCAGTTTCAATTCATGTACCTACAGCTATATAGGCCACGGATACATCTGTCGGATGCAGTATTGGTTTTGATTGCGAGGGAGCGCATTTCGCACATAATCGATATACCCTATTTCTACATTTTTTTTCCTAAATTTAAGTTTCATTCAAGCTGTTTATTGATCAGAGGTACCATTGCGTTCCGTAAATATGATAGCCGCAATGAAATTTACGACTATTTGTTTGATTGTAGCATTTTCTACAGCATAACACTGATGCTCTGCGATCAACTCACAACAACGCGTGGGTAAAACTTCAAAATCTTGCTACCCAATAGTGAGGGGAAATCTTTTGGACCCGGTTTAATTTTAGCTACTGAAGACTTGCTTGAATGACTGGAAAAGAAGCGGTTAGCTTTCATGTTCGTATTTGATTTTATTGCATCGATGCTCACAACAGCATCATTCCACGAATATAATTCTATCAAAAGAACAAGAATAAATTTTTGAAGTTCAGATGCAGTCAACCTTTTGTGCCAAGGTTAAAATAATTAAACAAAATGACTGTTGTGGCCTTGACAGTCTACTTAGCCACGCTTATCCTAATAAATAAATTCTTTAAAGTCATCTAACACGCTCCGTATGTTTACTCATTATCATTTGTTTACATTCACGCTACCGACACGTTGAAAACATATCTATGTCTAAGACAAAACGTGAAGGATATACATAGGGCTGCCACGCTTTCTTTCTATGTATTATACACCTAGGATTGCAGTTTCTCAACTTGCCATGCACCGTTCCTAGCGGATTAGGGTAATAAACAAATCTACTTTAGGGAGGGGAAAATCGAACGTTTTGCGCTCCCTTCGTTCTGAACATTTTGCAGCAGTAATTTACAGAAGTTGAACTTGTCGGAAGGGGACAGAAACAACATATTTTATGTTATTTATTTTGTGCCGGTCGTGTGCCAAAAGTATGTTGTCAAAATTCGAAAATCAATCCAGCGATAGATGTCATTTTGCATCGTGATGCGATCGGAATAGGTTGGAATATAACGATATTCCTCTTAGTCGTATTTGTTTAACAGTCTATATTCGTGCTTCGTTAACAAGTTTCATTTCGAATTGAAAAATACAGAAGTGATTATGGCGGCAGCTTATCCTTACTATCCGGAATACAGTTCCAGTTACATTAATGCCTGTTATAACTACGGTCAACAAAACTATGACTACCAAAATGGATACCAGTATTCAGCTGCAGCCACACAGTGTGCAAATAATCAGAGCTTGTATGTAAATGAACCAAGCATTCAGAATCAAACTGATACGCAAGGTGGAACATCATCTTCGAATTCAAACCTTCCGGAACAAGATGGTTCATCGACCAGAATTAATGATAATTATTTCAACAACTGTCATTACTACGGTAATCAAAACTATTATCAGCAGTCACTCAACAATCGTCAAAACTACTATGCATACCAATGTGAGTACTTTTCACACAATAATAACCAATCTACAACTAAAGATGTTCAGCATGCTGAAGTAACGCCAGAGAAAAATTTAAATACAAGCTTTTTTGGCGATAAAGGGAAAGACGAGCCTTTGCTAAAAAATAATCACTCTGTAAATAATCCTATCGCAGTAAATAAAAGGAAAGTGGCATGTCTCACAAGTATAGAAGACTCACCAGCATTACGGGCACTTCTGACCAACCCAGCTAAAAAGTTGAAGTATAATCCAGGATATAGTACTTCCAATGCAACAGATATCATGCTATCACCAAGTGATCATATAGTACCTGAATTTATTCCACCTTCTCCAAATAAAACTGAAGACAGCATTGACAGCTTTTTGGAGAATGGACTCCAAAATAACACCAAGAGCCTCACACTAACTACGCCCGCTCGTGTAATTGTACCAAGCTACGAATGTGTGAGTACTCCACCAGTTTCTCCCAAATATGTTGGTCCTGCTGTATCATCGCAATCACAGCAGCTGGACTCTGATAAAATTGAAAACACTGATGTTATAAACGGTAAGTTAATAAACCATATTATATATATAGACATATATATCTATATAGGGTAGGTGTTCCAGTAATTTTATCAATCCTATTACAACTATGTTGCAATTATGACATAGGCATAATAGTAAATTCTAGTCTGACTGGTATATTTACCTTATATACATATAAATTACAAATATAAATATATCTACATATAAGTATAAATTCAAATGATTAACAATAACTTTTGTATTCTACTTTCCAGTTTCTGATAAAGAATCATCCAAACGCACTCGGCAGTCCTATTCGCGCTATCAGACGTTAGAGCTGGAAAAAGAATTTCATTCAAATAGGTACCTTACAAGAAGACGTCGTATTGAAGTTGCCAATGGCTTACGATTAACTGAACGTCAAGTCAAAATTTGGTTCCAGAACCGCAGAATGAAGGCCAAAAAAGATAAATCAGTATTGAGCCCCGCACACTCATTCGATGAATCTTCTTCATCCACCAACTGTCAACCAATCGGCTCAACTCAATTAGGATATGGTCCAGTTCAAATATCGCAGCACCATTACAGATGTTATGAATCAGCGTCAATGCTAGGAAATAATTATCAACATTATACATCTCTAATATAATGACAAGTAGTCAATGGTATTTTGGTATTGACACCCATATGCTCCTAGTGAATTCAAATCCGTGATGCCTTTGAAGCCAATTAACTATGTTCCTAATTTGTACAGTAAGTTCATGATGTGTACATATATGTGTTAAAGTATTATGTAAAAATTTAAATTTTAAGCTATTTTGCCAAAAAGTAAAATTAAATAACAAAAATCATAAATTTCTTATATCCCTCAATCATCGAGAACGCAATTCCAATATCTACAGTATCTGCTTTGTATGGTTTCCATTTCAAATATACCGAGGACTACTGCTGTTTCTGTTTATGTTCACAACAGAGAAATCATACTGAGAGCCTAAACGAAACCCCAAAAGAGAGCAGCAGGAACAGATGGTTTCGGTAAATCTCACACAGTGTTCCCCCTGTCCTCAAAAAGGAATGAAGAAGTGACGACAATAAGTACGAATTATCATTAACTATAGTTGGCTGAAAGACACGATCATTTTTCTAGGTAGGGGAAATGACGGCTTCATGAGTTTTTGTACCTATTATCGTCAGGGGGTCAATTATTTTCTTGAGCGGTAAGTTTTTGTATCAAGATGCGTAATGTTTAAATATATAGTTTGGCCAAAAATATGTGTTCCAGGAGTTAATTTGTTTAATTAATCTTCTGTTCCAGCAATGAATGTTAATTGCTTAAGCTTCAATTCGATTACATTCGCTGCTATTTTGTGACAATTAAAATTGCATTTTAGTTTCACCGTTTTTGCAGTGCATCCTCTTTGATGTGAAAGTGATTCATAATATATTTTGTTTTCTAAAAAAAAAGAAGTTCAAAGTGATTTGCTTGAAGCCTGATTCTGTATAATACCATACCATACCAATCAGGTTAAGCCTTCTCCACACTTCTTGATCCATGGCCACACCTTGCCAGCCTCGTAGTCTGCGAAGGATCCGCATGTCGCCTTCTACTTGGTCTGTATAAAGTTTGAGCAATTTAAGTTAAGTGTTGTTTTCAAGCACCCTTATTAAAATTGTCTAAATTCAGTCGTCTTGAAGCTAAACAGCTATTTTTGATCGGTTATATAAAAAGATTTTAATTCAGCAGTTTAGTTTAGTTTCGTTTACATTATTATAATTCCAAAATGGAGTAGTAATTATCGAAGGTTTTAAATAATGAAAATCTTCATTGTTGATCTAATTTACCAATCTCATTTCGGAAGAAGTACACTTGTAAGTAACACACCACAACCAAATTCCATTGAAAACATGGAAATAATTGACAACTTTTGAGGGTAATTAAGGGTACGTGAACTTCAGGAAGAGTACCGCTGCCCTATGTAGTAAATGAATGCCCAGGATTCGAGAATGAGTCAGCGATAAAGTAAAGTCTCCATTTTCAGAACATCTTTTTTTTTCTGTTCATGGATAATCCTATTTGGTTCTAGCATACGGATGACTTGCATTTTTGTTTCGTTTTCATCCATTCAGAAGTTGTAGGATTATCTGCGAGGGAAACATTCAAAGATAAAAAAGAAGGCGGTCTGTATTCATTCACAAGTATGGCAATTGAAAACGTATTTTGCCCAATCAGATTACAGTACCGATACTGAAACGAACATCATGAATTATTCGCATATTGATAATTGCAACCCCCATTATTCAAAATACAACTTATTTAAAGGTAATCTAAAAAGCTTCTAATTTCTCCAAATTGAACATTAAGACTATTTGCATACAGTACACTGCATGCAAAGCAAAATCGAAAGTATATTTCAAAACCTGGAATAACATGGTGGAACTCAAATGAGCTGAATTTGAATTAAATGCCATCAAAGCCGCGTGAATACGTAGCTAAGAAAACAAGTCAAGCAATTGCTGAATGATGTCAATATGGAAAGCTAAATTGTCTTATCTAATCTAATCTAACACCAACACAGCCAGTTCTTGAAAGCATCCTGGAAAATGATATATATACCTACATCATTTTTCTTGTCTATTTGATCTATGTTTCACATCGAAGATGCGTCACACATATCAAAACGGCCAGGCCTACTGTGCAGCATTTAAGGGGCAAGATGATTCAGAAAACAACGGGCCTGTTTAAATCAAATATTTAAACACGATGCTTCAGAATCCAATAAATTGATGAAACGTGGACATCTCGTACCGTACGTTCCGATTTTGGTAATTATATGATTGGTTGGTCGTTGGAAGCATCAAAGCTAGAAAGGTTAAGTGATGCTCCATTTTCTTCTGAGCACTAACTCTTGTCCTAGCCCTTTAAGACTTATGGGTATAGCGCCATTACTCGCTTTCTGAAAAGAGAAGAGGGAAAGGAAAAGGAGAAGGACAAAAAGAAAGGAAAAATGAAATATACAATATAGAAATGCATAACGGCGGTGGTCACTACCCCAGTCTTGAGGGATCAACGCGTGATTTCGCGGCTTCGAACCGGGCACACCAAACTCTACTATGACTATGGTGGCCTGCCGTTTCGCAGAAGCTGCATCATATGTGGGGTACCCTACACCGTCGAACACATCCTGTGCAACTACCCGGAGTCCCAAAATCATCGGGAGTCACTCTGCCTAACTTCCAGCATCAGCGATCTGCTCGGGAATGATACTTCGGCCTCGGCAGCACTAGTAACCTTCTTAAAAGAAGCCAAAATCTACCACTTGGTATAGCAGGAATTTCTTTCGGCCGTCGGGACATCTCAGCTGGATGGATTTCCCCTATTGAACACATGCCAGCTGAGCTCTGTTTTGTTTGGATTAATCGTTTTTAGCTTGTCTTAAATCATTTTGTTTTCTGTTGTTCCTCTGTTTCATTATTTTATATATTGTTATTTTTTCATATAAGTTGAAGAGCCAGCAACCAAAGTTATTAACTAAATGTTAATATACCATGTATCTAGAGGTTACTCACTCTGAGCCCTCTCCTTTCTTCGGAGATGAACTAGCCATAGGCTAAAAATCTCCTTAATAAAGAATTAAAAAAAAAAACTGCCCCAGTCTTGTCACTATTATCAAGTCATAAAAAGTAACAAGGAATAAAACGATAATTGGAAAATCGTGATTCCCTAGTTTGAATTTGTCAACCCTAGGGTTCGGTGGTAGATATTATACCAGTAACGCATCTCAAAAGGTGATCTCCCAACGTTACTGCTTTGAAAAGATAAAAATTTACCAAATGGAACGAGCTCACCAAGTTTAGCTGCTGTGTTGATGTAGAAGTCGAAATTGTAGACGAAGCTTGACGAAGCTTCAACATGGGACCTCTCATACCATGGCGCATTGCGAAGAGCCCATCTATCACTACCGCAAATCATCATTTCGGTGCTCACACTCTAATTCAATTAGCGTTGAGGGCACCTTCGAAAAACCGTGTCTTCTAACAATTTCAAATAGAGCGATTACATTCGCAAAAATCACCATCTTAGCGCCCCTCGGTGAGACTCTTCATGGGAGCGAGCTGTCAATTGAGTGTCAAACAGTGAAGTTATTATCTTGCATTAAATCTTGATTTAAAGCTCGAGATAAAAATCTGTGAGTTCGAAAAAAAACAACGTTGTGCTCAGAAAACAAAGCTCTTACAGATGATGTATAAAAACAGATAATTTTTTCTTCCAATTTGGCATTGTCTGAAGGAATCTATCAACTTTTAAAAAATCACATCCTTATGTTTCGGAAACTTTCAAAAGTTAGTGCAAAATTATGTTTTTTGATATCAAGTGTAATAAAAAAAAATGATGTGACGCAATTACAAGCGTGGCATCGAAGAAGGCTATGACCACCGGTATTACAATTGTAATCAAATAACACTCAATTATGTTTTTACGCTATTTAATTTTTTATTTTGCCCTTATGCAGTATGGGTACACATTTTTTTAATTCCATCATATTATCCTTGGTTTTTTTTTTGTTTTGAAACATGTTGCATTACACTTGGTAGCAATTTGAGATTAAACGATTAAAAATCGAGGCGAAAAAAAATCGCGTTACAGAATTGAGTATAATGCAATAAAAACACATTTTTATCATTTCCTTGAGAATAATCGTTCTCTAATTTGGCCAAGTTGGTTGAAAATGGTTCTTAGCCTACACAGTTGAAAAAAGTAATGTGATTTTCTATCACTATGATGCATATAAAAGGAGCGTCATTTATCATACAAGTTAATATTCAAAATATTGTGTGCCGCAGATAACTGAAAGCACCTTTAGTCCGGGAATTAGAAAGTGCTAGCTCTGCTGTTGATCCAGAAACCCATTTTTAAATGTTTGATAATTCATACAAATTTCGAAGTCACTTTCAGAAGCCATAAGCTCCACATGTCTACAGTTCCGATATCACATGGCTAATGGAACTGCAAGCACACATTCAGATTCAGATCAATGCTTTGAATCCAACGCGTATTTAATAAAGCATGATGTAAAACACGATTGGGAATATCCATTGTCAGTAAAATAATATGAAAAGATCTCACCAAATTATGTGTCTATGGATCCTGTCTTAAGACATTATGGTCGCCATCGTCCTCCTCCTCTTGCTTGAAGATGCTTTTTTCGCAGCAGCACACATCAAAAGTGTTATTAAAAGGCCCTAATTTCCTACTGTATAGCTTTAGATATTTATAAAAAATGCAAAAATATTTGAAAAAAGTGACAGAAGTCAACGAAAAAACCGCGACCGAAAAAACACAATTTCATCCGCAATCTGGAAAGCTAAATTGCCTAAATTAAAATTCTGACCACTTCTTCGGAGGCAACCCGATCAATTCTTGGCGGTGAGTAATTTGATCTACTGTAGTATATCCGACCAGTAATTTGAACTATTGCAGTACGTCCCGTGTTCTTAGTTAAGTACACGTCATATTAATCCATCACTATTAGGCTTGTCATTTGTCGGGTGTTTTTTGAAACCCTGTTTGTCGTTCATGGAAAAATCAATACCGGTAAAACCGGTAAAACTCGCTTATGCACTATTTTGTTCGTAAATAAAAAATGCTAC